CTGCACAAAGACTCGTCGGGTTGTCGCTGTTTTTGTTTGTGATTCTACGTCAGACATTGTGCATTTCTTTTGAGGTATTTTGGTCGGGAATTAAACCATACCTTGGAGTTGTGTACAAAGTTGTGAGGTTTTATGAGTGCACGCACATGCCAAGATCCTCAGCGGGAGCTTTGCCTTTGTTTCATGGGTGTCAATGATCTTCATGCTGCTATCACCATGAACACTGCCACGCTGCAACAAAAGCGCTTTGAGCTAGACCACAGGTGTGTGCATCTCCACTGAGAATAAATGCATTTGTAATCAGCCTCTTCAAATGTGAGGGGAAATCAAAGGTTATGCATGCACCGGGTCTTTGGAAATGTCTTTGAATGGCAGGTGATCTGAGAATGTCGGTCAACTTAAGCAGGAGAGCAGGGGATACTAAATAATGGTTGAAGAGATTTGGAAATTGTATCTATTTTTAGAGGTCCTGGGTTTGACTCGTGGGCCAGACAGGGCCTTGCATGTTCTCCCTGTGTCTGTGTAGGTTTCCTCCAGGTGCTCTGGTTTCCTCTAATATTAAAACAAAAAATAGATGTGAATGTAAAGAGTGAGTGATGGGATGGTGATGGTCGGAGAGACAGATTATTTTCTTGTTATGTACTCAAGATGGCAGCCTCCATTTTCACCAGCAAGAGCCTTTAATATTACCATACATCTTATAATGCAATCATAACCTTGTAATCCATGATAATCAGCATGTGTAATAACAACTTCTAACCAAATTTAAACAATGTATCATATTTTTATTTTAACATTTGAAAAAAAGCATATTTCAGACAGGAGATACTCAGGTGACCCACGCAGGCAGGTAGAGGTAACTCAGGAAGGTCTTGGGAAGTCCTGATTCTGAAAGTGTGCTCATCAGACGAGGATCCGCGGTAATGTGCAAGAAATGATTCATTCTCTCAACTCTTAATTAGAGGGAGGAATTTGCATGTTCTCCCCACGTCTGCATAAGTTTCCTCCAGGTGGAACGGTTTTCCCTACCACTAAAAACCATGTATAACCGGTATGTCATGCGCCTCCTGGATAGCGACCATACTCACTGTCTTTTTCAACATTTGTAAATCTCTTCATGCCTCCCTTTGTGTGAAAGGCGCTAGAAGATTTCTTACTTACTCAATTACTTACTTACTATCCAACCACAAGTAAGATGTCCCATGCTGTAAATTGAAATTCCTGTCTGTGATCACACAAAACACAGACCTCTCCCATGTTTGAACAAATAAATATCTTAGTTTCATTTCTGCATCAAATTGGAGGCCTGCATACCAACGGTGGCACCTTCCCACTTTTTGGGAACCACTATCAATAGCAGGTTTATAGGTTAACACTTCTCCTGTGCAAGAGCCCAGGTAATGTTGTTATTCCATTTGTGCCCTCTGCTGCAGCCTGCACACACCCTGTCTCCTCAACATAATGGTCGCAGCCCTGAGAGGAAACATTCATTTACGCACAAAAAAAACCTTGAGGAAATCCCTACCGATCCTCGGGGCTCACGTTCAACCACACAAAAGGGCTATGCAAATCTGCCCAGCCTGCGTTTATCTACTCACCGTTTCCGTTTGCACCGCGGGAACCAGCATTGTGCGGTGCGCGGCGATAATCTTGTGTAATTTACATAGAATACGCATAGGAAACAGTGCGCGCGTCTCGCTACAAAGCCGAGCGGGGTCTCTATCGGGCTCAGCAGATATCTGACTGCGCAGCAAAATTACAGGTTTTAGCTGTGGGGTATTAAACCTACAAGGTGTTTTTATTTCCACTGTGTAGAAAACACTATCTGCTCCGAATGCTGCTTGTTTATCTGCCTTGTTTGTTTTATAACACACCTCTCCTTTTTTTTCTTTTTTTTTAAGCAAAGGGAATGCGCGTCTAGAGCCTGGCTAGTCTACCCCATGCGCTTGTGTTTCCCATTGTCACTGGATCCATGTTTCTACACGGTGAAGTGCAGCCAGATCGAGGAGCGCTGTAATTGGAACAAAAAAAGGGTTAATATAGGTGCGAGTGCGGGTGCGTGTGAGTGACGCAGGCTACAAGTGCGAGCAGTGGAAGTCATAATAACACAAAGGCTGGCGTTGTTAAGACCCCATCAGAAACTTGAGACGTGAGGGTGAGATGAGAGATGTCCCGGTGCAGACGCGCAACCTGCGGGCTGTCTGGGTCTGTGCGCAGCGGGGTCGCGGAGAGGTCAGTGTTGAGAGGAAGAGAAGGCCTTTATTTGACCTGTTATTGTGAAGTAAATGGAACCTCTGTGTGTTCAGCTACCTCGTGGGGCAAGTGTTATACGCGTCGTCAGGGCAACGGGCTTGAAGCTGGGGTACCTGATTTAAAAATAATTACAAAAAATGATATAATGAAAGAAAAAAACTAAATCCATCTGACCTGGTGTTTGCTCTCAGAAACAAACTATGGTTCTGTCACTATTTTCACATGTGTTTTTGGTGCTCAATAGACCAGCTTTTTCAGACAGATTTTTTTTTATTATTGATTTTAATTGTATTGTTGAATGTTTATGTTGATTTTAATGTTTATACCTGGTGTGATCTGGGTTGTGAGGCGCATTATGTTGCCTTGTGCAAGAAAGGCTCTCTACAGATAAGTGAATTGATTGATTGAAGAGTGAAAAAAGGGAGGACGTCCATCACTCAACAAAAGCGTCAAAAAGTGACTTACATGGCCCTCTCTTACATGTGCAAGATAGAGCGTATTTTCTATCAATATAAAGAAAGCATGTTATGGTCTGATCTGTTCACAACCTTTTACTTTCACTTGACTTTCTGTTTAGACCAACTAAGTGTATTATTGATTAAGCAAATAAGTCAGGTACTGAATGCCTAGTCTACAATCTATACAGGAAAGAGAAACATGCTCGTTTTCGGTGTGATTAAGGTCAATAGGCTAAATAAGAGCTATTGAATAATCTCAGGTAACTATTCCTAATCAATCAATATAGGCCTTTATCATGAAATTAACACATTGGATATATACATGCAGTGTGATTTTGTATATAATTCAATCAGTTCAAATCAGTTATTGTATCACTATCAATACTTATCTCCTTGAGTACATTCCCATGACAACCATGCCATCTGCTCTATAATCGATATTTGTCTTCAGTCAAGGGTATTTCATTCTATATTTCCAAACAGTGAACTGGAAAAGGGTGAGTCAGTGTGATTATGTATTAGAAGTTTCTGAATGTGGTCAGTCAGCAGTCTGCATGAAACCAACAGACACCAATCTAAATTTGTTCTCAGAAGTGAGTGCCGTCATTAATATAACACTGGATCTTTGAGAATGGGCCCTCCGAAGGCCAGTCACAAGCCGAGCATGGGTTTCCCTCAGTACAATAGGCAGCCTATCAACGGTAGTGATAAGCTGTGTCTTATCACCACCGTCATCTTCATCATCTTTATAATCATTGGCCCAGTCATCAGTTTTACGTACAACACAAATGACTTTTCTCCTAAATGATTGCACATAAAAGACATTCTGTTACAAAGGGCTTGCTGAATATTAAGGGGGTTTTGGGTTTACCTCTTTAGCTCAGAAGATAGTGGAAATAAATGTTAATTTATGTAGGTCATTAAAAGAATGAGGTTACATATTTACAAGCAACAGTGAACATGTGGCTTTATGGTTGTTTTCTATAATTCAGAATATATACAGTCTATGGTTCATACTGACGGTTTGTGATGTAATAACAATAATCACTATTGACTTTAGCTTTGTGTATGAAATGAACGACAGAAAGAATTGGATTTTCCACATGAAGCAGAATGTGTCTGGGATCTCCTTGCAAAGTGTTAGCTTTTCCATGAGGCACCGCTGTGGCTAATGAATGACAAGCACAAACGTATGACTTAACAACTGCTTTGGGGTTTATTTTACAAATGAGAAAGAAGTGAAACAAACTATTTGTTTCTAAAAAGTCTTTTATGTTTTTACAACATTGTTGATAAAACATTGAAATGTATAGTCATTGTGCATCGCTTATTTCTTTTTCCACACCATATCATGCATCAAGTTGGATGCAATTATAATTAAAATTATTTCTGTAAACCAAGCCAAAGAAGTTAAATTTGTATTTTCTTTAAAAAAGACATTTTGTAACTCTACAGTATATATCTATATACATCATCTGTTTTTCTGTTTTATCAGTGTTTTATACAAAAGGACAATATAAAAGTTAGAGAATGCACACACCTTAAGATACAAAGAATGTTGATCTGTTTCAAATGGTACGATATGTCACTGGTGACGCTTCATTTACAGTCGTAACAAACTCCTCTTTACATTTGAACAGAGACACCATCAGAGAAGGATGTGACAAACCAAACAACTGCAATCAGATGATTCACAACAACAAAAAGGTTGACCAAACCGCAAACTGTTGGAAATGGACTGATTCAACCAAAAAAGAACTGTTACTGTCAGGTGATTCATCATTAATAATCAAGACTTTAAAAACAAGAAATGTTTTTTCAAAAAACTGGTTCAGAAAATGCACATTTGAAGACATTACAAATTGAACTTATCAGTCTAAGGTGCTACTTCAGTCTCGTTCTTTTGGTGTATACATTTATTTTACCTTCTTATAGGATATCAAGTATTATACAATTCTTCGTTCTTAACCTCTTTCTTTCACCACTTGACTTTTGATACCATTGAAGCAGTAGTTCTATTTTAGCAATGGAAAAAAAAGTATTTTACCTTGATTCACTTGAGCACATGCACACATCTGACAAATATCATATAAATATATTACAAAATAAGTTTAAAAAAGCTTGGCAAAACAAAACAAAACAATGTGAAAAGACATGGTCCAGTCAGGCAGTTATCACAACAAAAAAGTGTAAGACAGATTTTTTAAATGTTTAATAATGGCTCAGTTCGGCCCAGTGCAGAAATTGAAATGTAATTTTAGTGCAATGAAATTCAATTCAATAGTTGCTTCACACCTGCACCTTCTCCATTTTCCCCAGCTTTTCCAGTTTCTCCAGAGCAGTGACGAAGACCAAGTGGTCTTCTGGAGATTTACCATGGGTCTTGCTGAGGTGGAGTTTGACGGCGTGTTTGCTAACAAATGTCCGATTGCAAAGTCTGCACTGGTACACAGAGCCCGCCTCCTCCTCCGCAGTGCTCATGGACAGGGGGGTGCTGAAAGTCAGTTTGTCTGTGATCACCTTAGAGGCAGCCTGCTGCTCCCGAAGGTGATCAGATGACAGTTTGGACAGGTCCTTCAGACTGAAGCCCAGGTGAGACTCCAGGTGGTTAATGTAGGAGGCAGGAGTCCTGAACTGAGAGGCACAGTCCCCACAGAGGAATACAGGCTGGCATGAATCCATGTTCTTCAGAAACTTGGTTCCGCCAGTCCGCCTTAGTTGATACTTGACATTAGCTAGCCAGTGGGAAATGGTGGTCATAGAGAGGCCAGTGAACTTACAGATGTGGACCCTTTCCTGAGGCCCCAGGTCAGTCATTGCATATCGGCCCTCTGAGGTCTCTCTGAGGCTTGAGGCAAACTGAGCCTGCAGAATGAGCAGGTGCTGCGGGTTCCAGTTGGACTGTCTCCCTTTCCTTTTTTGGACAGGAGACAAGTCCTCCATTGCATCCTCAAATGCACTACCCTCAGCATCCGACTTCTCAGAGATAGAGGAGGGGGTAGAGGATTTGGGAGTTAATCTTCCGGTGAGGTTCTTTACCATATCTGAAATGTCCATCAGGGCGTTTTCTCTCAGAGGAGAGGACACTGTCTCAGATAGGGACATTATTGGTTTGTTTCCATTCACAATATGGTTTGTCTGAAGTACACAACTGTTATTATTGTTGTTGCCGTTGCTAGTGTTCGTCGACTTATTCTTACTCAGATCAATTGGCTGGTCAGTGTTGTCATAGATCTGATAGTGGCTAATGGGCTCAGCAGACTTGCCCTGAGAGTTGGAGGTGAATGCTGGCTTATCTATCATGCTGTTGCTGATTTTATAAAGCATTGAGAGCGGGTCTACCGCAGGACTCACGGGTTTGGGGGCCTTACCCAGATGCGTGTTCATGATTGACTGGAGTGCACTTAGAGGGTTAACAAAAGGGCTTTCTGGTGAGTGGTCAGTGATAATCCCCAGACTGTTGCCATTGGTTACAGGGGACTGGCATGTCTCTGAACCATTCTTAGAATGGTTGCTGTGACTATCAACAAGACTCTCTTTGGGCTCCTTCTTGCAAATGAGCTCTGAATCTACACTGCCTGGGCTGCTACTTCTCATACCAGATGGCTTACCAACTGAAAGGTCATTTGGAGATGTTAACTGCTCTCTTTGCTCTCTCATTGCCGGTGAAGGAGATTTTACTAATGACGAAGGCCGGCAGCGCTCCAAGCTCACCATTTTCTCCTCTTTTTCTTTCTTGACAGAGGCAGCTTTCCCTGTCACCTTCTCTACCAGCTCCTCCATGGCAGTGACATTGCTTCTGAGTGGGGTAGGGGAAGAGGGGCTTCTAGGTGAATGAATGATGGAGTTGTGATCATTTACTAGGCATCGCAAACTACTGTTAAACATTGGCTGCATTTGTACACTTTGGATAGTGGGGGGCAGAAGAGTAGAAGAACTTTTCATTGCACCATGCAGTTGATAAGCCGCATGAATGCTGGGATAGCCTCCCCATGTGGGTGTACCTGTCTGAGCTTTGCTAATGGCACTAGATACTGTGTTCTCAAGGGATTTAAGTATATCTAAACCTCCTTTAGGCGTCTCCTCCAAGTCCTCCTCTCTGAGATACTTATAAGAGGTTGTATCAGATTCAGATTTCTCTCCTGAATCATCTCTCTCTTCTTTTATCTTTTTCTCAACTAATTCCCCATCAACCTTCTCTTCTTCAGACCCTTCCCTTTTCTCCTCAGAGGCAGTTGATAATGCAGGGGACACTGGCTGTGATTTTATGCCACAGGGCACAGGGAGTCTAGTGGTGGTGGGTGGCAGTGGAATGGATTGAAACTTTTCCTCCACCACAGGGTCAAAGACAAGCTGTTTTCCTTTTTTAGAAGCAGAATTTGTGACCTTCAAAAAGTGTCCTGTCACCATCATGTGTGCAGTTAGCTGTTGGAGAGTGTCATGAGAGCTCCCACACTCCATACATTTGAGTATTTGGGCCTTACGAGCCTCGAACTGCCATGTGTAGCTGGCTCCGTTTTGGTAGCCATAACGGTTGTTTGGCGTGACATAAGGGTTGGCTGTGGCTTTTGAGTCTTTCCCCGCATCGCTGAGGGATATGCTACCACCACTAGCAGCATGAACAGAGTCTGGGGAGCAGGGGGATACAATTGGGTCTTGTATAGCTCGTTTTTTAGCAGAAGTGGGCACCAGTTTAGTGGCCAAGGCTGGCACAGGCTCTTTAAGAGGCACTTTTTGGTAATGCTTGGTCTTGATCATATGAACACTAAGATCTTGGAGAGACTCAAATGAGTGGCCACAGTACATGCACTTAAGTACCTTTTGAGCATCCTCTTTCCCCTCCATCTCCATAAGGGAGCGCTTACGTGGTTTGGACCATCGTTTGCCCTGCTCCTCCTCTTTGTCTTTATTGTCATCGCGATAGTGGCCGGTCTCATTCATGTGCACAGTTAGGCCAACCAGTGTGTCATAAGCTGCACTACAGTCTTTGCAGCGGAACTTGCTTGCCCCAGTGAATACAGAGCCATAGAGCTTGTTGTTTTGCCGATAGAGCTGCACGGTGCTGAAAAGGCTTGGCTCTGGTAAAAGGTGGTAAGGTGTTTGCTGAAGAGTTTTGGCCAGTGCTGCTTGGTGCCAGTCATAAGCTACACCAGTACCATTACTAGCTGCTGCACCACTGTTCCCACTGCTGCTGGTGGCGCTGTGGGTGCTCGCCGTGCTCACTGCTACACCATTGGTCGTGCAAGTGGAGTTGCTAGTGTGGTTGACAGCAGAGCCCAATCCTTTACCATTATGTTGACTGCTCACGATACTGGTGCCACTGCTCTTGTTACCTGGAGAAGTCGGGGACACAGGCGCAGTCGCAGTTGCAGTAATGGCACTGTTGATACTACCAGCAGCAGTAGATTTTGATTTCATGATGTCCAAAGTGATGCTAGACCAAGAGGCATCGGAAATAAGGTTTGCATAGACGGCCTTCATCTTTGCCAGACTGTCATGGATGGAAAGGCCGTTGTTACCGTTGGGACGAAGAGCATTGGCATCCCTCTCCTGACCGTCACGGGAAGAGGTGCTCTTGAAATCAGCAAGCCGGTCACTGGAATCGCTGAGGGGAGAGCCATATCCTGCATCAGGGTTTGTGCCATTGCTGAGGGGAGAGTCTCTATAACTTGGTAATTGGCCTCCGTCTAAGTCGTCATCTTCATCGTTGCACATGAACTCCGTGTCCTGACCGTCCAATGAGAGGCCGTCGTCCTGCAGGTGTTCTTCCTCTTCATGTGGGGCTGCCTTAAGCTCATCTTCTGGCATGTACGCTGCAACACACAGACAAGGGCAGAGAGTGAGCAGAGAGAAAATGGTCCACTCAATGAAATAAAAGATTTACAGTGCAAAAACAGGGTCACTATCAAAATAACATGGACTGAATGCGCTTGAGATAATGTAGGTCTTTCCTTTGTGTGTGTGTGTGTGTGTGTTGTTTTTGTATGCATGCATAGGTCTATCTCACACACATGTGGATCTGAAAGCCAGTGGTGAAAAAAGCCTCCAAGGGAAAAATAAATCTCTGAGTTTCTGACAGTTGTCCTTTTCCTTCCCAACTCCCTATTCCTCCACAAGCTTCATGTTCCCCCGGAAATGACTGTCTGTTTGGCCTTGTTAGCCAGCTGCTTGGACTCCCTTTTCTCAAGTTTTATAGTCTCTCTTGCATAAAGACATATTAATACATTTATATCTGTATATACATGAAGGTAAATAAATACATAAAAATTATATATAGTATAAATATATAACATTATATATCTATGTGTACATAATGTTCCATGTGTTGATGCATTTATTAATATTAATGAATTGAATGAAAAGGCCAAAAGCAGTTGATAGAGGAATGAGGGAAGGGAGACAGGAAAGACAGCCCCCTAGTTTCTTCCTTTATCACCTTCCTGCATGGTGAGATGCATGTCCTAGATGCCAGCATCAGTCTCTTCTGATGAAGCAGATGTGCTGTCAGCTTCAAACAGCACACTAACCTGTCATATCATAATCTAAGTGGACATAATGCCTGATATATACACACACGCTCTGAACAGTTTTGTGACTATAAGATGATGTGAATAAGTGCATGAGAGTGCCCGTCTGCAAACTCCTAAGCCAGCACACTCACTTCCCCCTACCTTATTCCAAGTGTGTATTTTATACATTAATACATGTTTGCTCTAAAAGCCAAAACCTGAAACCATAATATTGCCGATAAGTCTCAGTTCGCTGTGTGCTACTGATACACTCTTCTCCAAATGAGCAACATACTCCCAGAACGGCTGACAGGATTTCAGTGAAATGAGAGCACTACAGGAGAACCTGGCTGTGCTTCAATCCCACTGACAGACTGAGACCTAGACAGTTTCTAAAACTCTGAAAATCCCTAACACAGCAGATTAGCATTATGTGCCGTACTTGCTACAACACACGGCAGAGTGTCTTCTGTTACAGTGCCTTCCCTCTACTCACTTCCAGAATCAAATCAATATCATATCATGCATTTAATATACAGGGCATTCAGTAAAATGCATATCTTGGAGCAAGATATTCTAGGAATGACCTAAGTGAGCGACTTTTCTCTACTCCAAAAATAAAACAATATTTGAAACTGCCTAATGACGCCCTGACAGCAGAAAAGAGACAGACTGCAGTGGGCGGGGCCTAAAGACAAGCAGGACGCCAGGGAACCCTTTGACGATCCCTGTCAATCAATGCCTGTCCTGCCATGTTGTCATGGAAACAACAAAGAGATATCAAAAGCATGCCGACAAAAGACTGGCAAAGATCAACATCTGTATGAATCACAGCCAGTTTATGAAGCACAACAGTAAATCATTAGTGAAATTGTATGTTCTTTACATAAAGGGAAACATTTGGGCACAAAGCCTTAAAAGTACTCAATTACAGCATATTTACAGATGCCTGATCTGAGATGAACTATACGAAGGGTCCTTGTGTCTTTGGGAAGCACATATGCAGAGTAACGAAGCTGCGTCAAAAGGACGTGTTGTGAGGGGCAGGGCAGGCGTGCCGTCCCTGGCGGTTTAGTTTGCAGAGTGGGTGATGGCTGTGAGCAGGGCCATCTGCACGGGCGCCAAAGCGCTTGTCACTTTGCTTGGAGACATCAAGGAGACAGGCGGCAGTGTGGCCAGGATAATGCCACAGACTTACTGTCAGATACTGCAGCGATCAAGAGCCCACCAGCTCCACCAGATCACCAACATGCACTAGAGAACGACGAGGCTAATGCAAAGCCAGGTGTAGTACAGTCGAGTCACTGCTCACTAAAAACATAGGACCTCCCGAAATGCTATCTGTAAAGGATGAGTTGATAAAAAGTGTACATTCAGAGATTATTGCAGATATCACATAAACCTAAACACTTCACTTCAAGTGAGTTTCAGCAGAGCGCCAAAGAAGAGTAGGAGTTCATCATGAAGTGAGCGGTGAACGCCCTGTATCAACACTAAACTGGGCCTCATAAATAGACAACACACTTGACACAAGTGAAGATCATTTCCAAAACATTCGCTCCCACACAAGCTCAACTGTGTATATGACATGATTTTTGTAAATGATACCAAATAAAATACAACCTGCGGACATTGTAGCATTTTGGCAAGCAGAGGGGCAGAAACATATCATTCCTTTTCAAAACTTTATGTCTTTCTCCACGTTCCCTCTCCCTTTCCTACGCTCTGAGTCTGCCGGTTGTTAAATCAATAAAACTCCCTGTCAGGCTCACAGAGGTTCACCATTTGGCCGCTGTCAAAGCCAAACAAACCAGATAAGAAAGGCAGGAGGGCGATGAAACGAGAGTGAAAGGGGGTAAAAAGATGGGGATGAGACCAGTCAGCTCCGCCACCATCGGCCCAAATACTCCGTCAGCCCTCCTTCTATTTATTTACACGCATTTTTTATTTATTTGATCTGAGTTTGGGGAAGAGGGTGCAATCACAGCAGTCATTTGCGGCACTAATGTCCAATCAAGGGCCCCTTCACTCATGTGATTTAGGCAGTGCAGGAGCGGGTTCACGGTGCAGCGCGGTGGCAGTGGGGCAATGGGGGGCAGAGGGCGTTTAAGCTGAACCTTAATAGGAAACTGGCAGTCTTATTCCTTCTCCAGATTCAGTTTGTCACCCTGCTCTCCATTACGTGCCTCTCAACCATGATGGCTTTGGACAGGAGCTGATCAAAAAGCTATCGGTTGACCTACACGCTATGGCAGAGTGAATGGGACAGGCCCCACTGTAGCTCCCGCTGCGGAGGGAGAGACATGGAAGAGGGGGCTGAGAGATGAGATGAAAGGGGAGGGGCCTTGGAGAGGAGGGGTGATACTCTAGGACCGGGACAAGAGGGCTGTAAATAAAATGACATTATTATTTCCTCTGTCCCGTCATGTAGAAAAGCCAATTATGGTAATGCAGCTGCCGGCGTGTCACAGAGAATACTGGGATGTGCTATCCGTGAAGTGGCTAACATGAGAGCAGTGGCCGGATCGGGAACACTGGCTTCAATATGACAAGAGACAACACACATAGAAGAGAGTATGTAAGGAGTAGTGACAAAAATGTAGTATCTCTGACTAAACGTGATTCAAATCTGGTGCCTTGGTGGTAAATATGAAATGAAATAGCAGTTCACTTTTGTGGTACAGAAAAGCTGGTGATGAAAAGTTAAATATCAAACTTTCCAAAAAAGTTCATCCCAGTTTGAGAAGATGCGAATTGGAAAGTTAGCATTAAAACAGGATGTTGCAGGTGAAGGCAAGGCAAACAATTCATTTTGGACTAAATTCTGATCACAACCTTCTGCAAAACTTATTTTTCATGTTCCAGCTGAGCCTAACCCCTCTTAAAATATTTCTACCATCTTCCCTCTTCTTCTCCTGCTCAATCACCCCATTTTTTTTCTCCTCCTCTTCACCAGGCTGGCTTATACACGCCCACATGGGCCCCTCCCAAGCGGAATAATGGAAGCATATGGCCTAGGCAGCACCTACAGGGCCTTAAATAACTACTGCAGCATTCCAGCTCGCTGTACCAATTTATCTCTCAACCCCCCTTCACTCCATTTCAAAACAGTGAGCCCTCAGCCCGAGCAGAGCAGCCGACACAGCGGACGGGACATGTTGTTCTCCAGGCACATGGCCACATAATGGACTGATGTCGAAAAGTGGTGTGAATTGGAATAAGTGCCATGCAACCACAATTATTCATGAAAGTCAGTTTTATTGGCATGTATTATTCCGTGAGTCGGACTGCAAGCGTTCTCAATCATGTGTGGTCATAACTTTGTGTAAACACCATACGAGATTACAGTGGACCAAACGGATTATGCAAAGGAAAGTCAAAGCAAATATAGTAGCGACATATATTTTTGAAAGCTAGTAGTATGTTTAGCCTACTGCAGGGGCAAACGCAGATTCTATTAACAGGGTTGTTGTACTCAGCATTTACTTTAGTGGGGGATCTACGTTAGCACATAGATATTTTTTTATTTACACAAGATACAAGCGTGGCATTGGGTCTACCCTCAACACTGCAAATTCCAAATGACATTGTAATTTTAGTAGTCCAAGAGTTCATCGCACTTCTGCAAAGTTCATCGGTTATAATGCTTGCTTGTTTAACGATGAAAGAAAGTGCGATTTTCCAGTAACAAGAGAATCCTCAGCGAAATGACAGAACTTGATGATTATTGAGTAAAAGGGCAGGTGTCAGCTCCAAGAGACATGTCAAGCTTTTAACATGCATCCGCTTATGTGAGCAAGCAAGTGTGTGTGAAAGGTGCTGCTGTTTTATTTATAGAGCCAGCGCTATTTATACCTCAACCCAAAGATCAGTTCAGAGGAGCAGGTCCACAGCCAAGACCTCTCTCCGTTACCGCGCACGGCACCCAAACACCCACAGCCCCCACTCTTGATGTAATCTCCACGAACAAAGTGGGCTTTTTACAAATCCGTGTTCAGTTAGAGCAGCGATTACAGTATACAGTACAATTCAGGTCGATGTGGGAAAAATGGGATAGTGATGTAGTTGTTGTTTTGAAGATTTTACACGATGTTAGTACAATATTTAGTACAAACTTGGGGAGGAAAAGGTGTAGAAGGGAATGTTGGACCTCGGGTTGTAGAATCAAAAATAGACACTAAAATCGGTTGGTCGAGTCTATTCATTAGTATCAGTATCAGTAAATTCAGTGTTATAGTCATCACAATGTCAGGACGCATAGCTATAGAAGTCGAATAGCGCAAGAATCAAATAATATTTACTAC